CACAGATGCCTACAGAGGTCAGAGCCTGTTGTGCTAGATGTACTATGCCAGCAGGACAGGGAGGAGCAGTTCTATACCAAACTCCTTCCAGCTCCTTCATAACCTCCAGCCTACAAGACAGAGGGCCGTGGCTCAAAGGGACCCATTTTCAGAGTGGGGTCTGGGTCACAGTCCTGGATGCTTCAGGGACATCTGGAACTGGAAGCAGTTCATAGTGCTTCTGGTTAGCATAACTGTGAACTGGCTAATTAGCCTGGGTGTGGTTGGTGTATCATGAGTGCAACTGTATTGTTCCAAGTTCAGGAACTGGCCCACGGGGACCTTTTCACCCTAGAAGCATCAGAGCTGTTTCCACAGCACCACACAACATTGTGCTGCTGCCTCCTGGCAGATGCAGTGGGCAGTGCCTGGTACTGCTCTGGGACAGAAATCCCATTTCAGAGGATCCTCAGACACTGCGGCTGTCACAGCTTTTCAGGTGCTGGGCGAGCTACAAGCCCTTTTATGGGCATCCACAGGGCGATCCCTGGAAGACAGCAGGAAAGGGTGGTTCCATCTGACCTCCTGACCGTGCTCTCAGGAGCTGGTGGTATGTCCGGTCCTCCATTTCCTTGTGTAGTCACTAGGCATTGTTACATGGCCAAGCTCCCTGTGCTGCACTGCATCCTCCCCCTCACTCCCCTTTTCCAGAAGCTTGGCAATTGCTTTTTGCTGCATTTTTCCCCTTCCCAGCATTGGGGTTTCCTCCAGCATTGTGTGTGCATGGTGCTTCATTTCACTCGACTGGCTGAACTGACAGGTGTTATTGTGCGCCTTTCGCCGTCTTTGTATCCGGACTGAGAGTGCCTCCCCAGGCACGGGGATGACTGCACTACCCAAGGAAGTAAAGATCCTGCGTTGTATTGAAATTAGCAAGGATTTACTGATAATGCAAAGCAGCAGTCATCAGGAGAGATGGGGGCTGCCAAAAAACCCTTTCCTGCTTTTCTAAAAATAAATTTACAGGGCTTTTAATTTCAGAATCCCAGAGCAAAGTCTGTTCATGTGGTGCCAAGCATTGGGTGCCTGAGATTACTGAGAGAGAAATTTACTGGCCCTTCATCTGGTTAACAAATTGCTTTCAGGCCTTTGTAATACACAGACACAATGGTTAAACAGCCTTCATGGGTGGGAGGTTCCTAATCTAGAGATTTAGGACTGGGCTGGTTTAGTTTTTGGTATCACATCTGCCTGAAAACTATTTATTACATTAAACCTGCCATCCTCAGGAGCATAGGTACATATGCAGGGCCAAAATAGCTGCAGCACGTGGTGCAGCCCCAGCCCTGCCTCCAGGTTCTACTTCCTGTTTTTGCCTTGAGGTGCAGCGTTTCCGGCTGTTTTTGAGCAGCCAGTTTACAACAGCCTGACTGTAGCACGCAAGTATTTTTTAAATAGAAGTTGATGACAGTGCCCTAGCAGGGGGAGAGCAGGGTGGGACTGCATCCCTTTGGACATTGCTTGAAGCTCGAAGACTGAGCAGGTGCACAGGCGCACATCCTCTTCCTGCAGGTGTACTTGTTTGCTGGATCCCAGGCTATTGGGATTGTACCAGCTGCTGTTAATCAGCACCAGTTCCATCAACTTCAGTGTTGGGATCAGTCCTTTGGGACTGATCTCTAGCCATTGGTGCTGGCACCCTCTCTGGTAGTGGTGTTATGGGACTCAGACTCTTCCTCTCCACTTTAGGTTCCCTTGTGTTTGGCTGCCCTCCTCACCTCCCACTTGTATGGAACATAGGCCATTTCCCATAGACTAGCATCTCTGAACTATGACTCTCAGGGTCCTGCTTTCTCCCCTCTAAGTTAGCAATGTGCATTGAGAGTTTCTCCTTTTTCCTGGTTCCTGTCATGTCTGCAACAAAATTGTAGCTTTTACCCAGGTGGTTGCAAAAGAACAGAACCAGACAGGAGGTTAGCCAATCCTGCCTTCAGAGGGATTTGCATCAGACCTGCGTTTTTGGCATTTGAGCCTTCCCTGAGACTAGAGGGAGCAAGCTTAAAAGACCCATCTGCAGAGCATCTTTATGGTACATGTGGTAATGATTTATCTAGGAGCCAGATATCTGGGAAGCATGAGTGATGAACAGGATGCCTGAGCTGTAGCCAAGGTTCTGTGCAAATCCCACTTGGCCTGCAGTGCTGTCAAGGTAGTCAAGTATTCTGCCCAGAAGGCCCTCACCTGGAGCAGAACTGCTCTGCTTGGCAGGGACTTCCTGGGCTGAGCTGGGTTTTCCCATGGGAGAAACTTTGCACTTGTCCCTGGCTTCATTAGTGGCTGTGCTCTCTGTTACATGAGGGATTACCTGAAGATTCATCTGGCTCCTAGGGCTTCTATTCACCAGCCCTTTGAAGAGAAGTCTTTAACACCTAATGAAGGAAATGCTATATTAATTAGTGTGGCAGGCAGACTAGGAACTCTCCTGTGGAATAGGCATTAGATGATTTCCCCATAGATGGCTTTACACTGTGCAAATTGCCATGTCATAAAACAGTGCTGTGGACTCCCTCGCCATTCCCCAGCCTGCCCTGACTCACTTTTGCTGAGTTGCATTTGCTCTGTGGGTCTGGGGAGGAATCTAGTATCTCCAAGCTTAGCATAGCTCTTGTCAAGTTATAGTGCCACAAATTCAGTGATTAGCCTAGTCTAATTTGCTTAACGGGCACATGTTTATAATAACCCAGTTAAGCAACAGTGCTGAGGAAGTGCAGTCTCACTCTGACCTTCCAGGCAGCGTCTATACAGGGTGTGATTTAGCATTCTGAGGCTCTGCTGCGCTCCATTACTGCTTTTGGACTTGTTCCTCCAGCTGGCCACACTCTTGTTGAGTTCGTGGTACCTGTGGTGCTGCCTGGTGCCAGAACTTTTTGCTAACTACTTTTAAAATGAGAGAAAAGATTTGGTCCCACAAATCTTCTGGAAGGTGTGTGTTCTACAGACACTAGATGCCAAGCTGTTCTAGTTGGCTGCAGCAGAAGTGTGTCAGGTCATCTCCCTGCGGAGCTCATGGAGATCGGCTGGACTGACCATGCCACACACCACTAATACATGATGGTACAGTACAAGCATATAACGCCTTAGCTCTAAAAGCTTCCAAAATGCCAGTTGGCTGCACCTAGGCAGCACAGATGTCATTTTCTTGCCACTTTCTGGGGAATGCCAAGGCATCCTCTGGGGATTTCCAGATGTAATGTGCTAGCCTGCCTGTCAGGTTCTTTGACTAGGGCCCAGTTTCATGGGCAGTGGCAGTTTGCACCCATAAGTATGCAGTTCTCAGTGGGTGGAGAAAGCCCAGCACTAGGTTCTAGTTGTTTCCTGCTCCCTTGCTGCAAAAATCAGGACTCTCATCAGCAACTTGGGGGAGACAGTCTGGTGATCAGGGCATGATGTAGGCTGTGGAGTTCTGAGCCCTGTGGCTGTCCCTCATTTTAGCAAAGGTGTGACATGGGTGATGATCAGAGCAGCCTGGACATAGTGCCATCTCTAGAGCAGAGACTGCTGAGGATGGGTGTTCCTTCATACCAGCAAATTTGTGGATGAGGCCCCAATCACTTTAGATCTCTGTACTTGAGCCTTACTGTGGGGAACGTGCAAAGCTTGTGCTTAGTTAAGGATGTGTTGCATTCAGAAACCTTGGCTCCTGCGTGTGCTGCACAGAATTCTTGTGCTGTTGCTCTCTGAGGCTGGTGATTTTTTTCTTATAGAATTGGAGCCTGCCTTTGGGAGGATGCACCATTCTCTCATCCTTTTCCCAATTAGTCCAAGCAGGTCTGCGCATTGATCTGTACTGCTGCAGGCTGTATGTGTGGGGCATCCTGTGACTCCTCTCCTGTGGTCCATAAGGAAGAACTGCATGCCTCCTGGGGGAAGGGGCAAGGGGTGCTTGCCAGTGGGCACAGTTTTTTCATTACAGTATTTCTGCCTCCAGGAGTGCCCTGCCTCTCTCCACCCCAACCCCTTGCCCAGAGGCACCTCCCCCTTCCTCCCAGGATGCAGGGTTTTGTTTGCTGACTATAAATGGTACGGAACTATAAATTGTTTCAGCTCTCTATGTGGTTTGTTGCCATAGTGATGAATACTTTCCTTTCTCCATTTTTTTCCTGAGAGCTGTGTCATATTAATGCAGCTCCATAGTCCTGAGGGGAAGAGGGAGCCACGAGCTCTAGGAAAGCTTCAGTTACACCTACTCTACCCAGCCATCAGCAGTAAATCTAAGATGTTGTTGGCACCATTTGCAAAAGCCAGAGTTCCTGGACCTGCCCACGTGACTTGCTGTTACAGGGATGCATCTGTGGCTTTCATGTTTATTGCACTTGGCTCCAGCTGTGGTAGTTTGTGGCTTTCTCAAAAGCTCTGCAAAGGGTTAAAATGGTGAAGAAATTTGTGTAGCTAGCACTGCACTGACTCTTTCAAGGAAGAAAAGCTGTGCATGGTAATGGAAGAAGTTGCAAACATCAGTGCAAGAAGTGTATGGTCCCGCAGGACTGCACATCCCAGCATGCAGTGCCTCACTTTGGCCACAATGCCTTGCTGCACTGCCTATAGTTTGCCTGGCCTGTGACCCTCCCCTTCCTCCTCCTCTCTCCCCTCAATCCCATCAAATGGAGCTGCCAGCTAATATTAATGAGAGGATCCAGCTTTTTGGGATTTATGCTAGTAACCCTGCCTTCCTCTCTGGCCAAGAGAGAAGGGCATCGGGGGGGACTTTGGGCACGGGGGTAAAAAAAAAAAAAAAAAGTCAGTGATAGATTTTTACCAGTCCTTCAATCCTCACACCCGTGTCAGAGTCCCCATGGAAGGGATGTTGCACCATCTCCTGCTTTCCTCCCCCTCTCCTGTCTGAGGCACTTGCTCTGTGCAGTGATGTTAAGAACAGAGGCCTGATAGTGCAAATGTAGCCTGCCGTGTTTTCTTGCTGTGCTAATTCAGCCCCGCCCCCCTGTCTTGTGCTCTCTCTGCAGCTACCTGAATGACTTGGAGAGGATAGCCAGATCAGATTACATTCCCACCCAGCAGGATGTGCTGAGGACCAGGGTGAAGACCACAGGCATCGTAGAGACTCACTTCACCTTTAAGGACCTGCATTTCAAGTAAGTTCTGAATGCAAGATTTACTGGCCACTTCACTGATACTTTTCTGGTGGCCCTCGGGTTGATTCTACTCCACCCAAGAGCACTTCCTAACTGTCCCTGGGGACACAGTAACCTGCCAGGCCACCAGAGTCATTCTCAGTGCAGATTGGCCATGTTTAAGTCACAGCATCTTAGTCTGGAGCCCTGTGGTGTGTCCTCCTGACTGCTCATTCAGAAGCTAAAAGAGATCCATTTATTCACTTTACCCTGCTGTGGGCAGGGAGGGAGATTGCAGTGTAGTTTTAACTATAGACATGTTGCTGAAACAGAGCCGAAGCTGGCTTCCCCATGCCTCCTGCAATTCTGTGCATCTGTCAGGAGAGCCCTCTAGAGTAAGGCTCTATACAGGATGAGGAATCAGGTGGCGTCTTGGAGTAAACAGCTGCAGCTCCAGCAACCACGTTGGACTGTGGGTTTAATCTACTTTCTGCCACTGACTTGCTTAGGCAAATCACTTCATTATTTTTGTGCCTCAGTTTTCCCCAACATTAAATTGGGGAATTAAATGTCACAGCTATGTTTAGCTGGTTGGGGAAGGGGTCAGCATGTAGCTGATTGTTTCTACAGGACTTTGAGATCCTCCACTGAAATATGCTAGAAAGAGGCAAAGTGTCTACAAGGGTGATATGGCCCTTGGCACATCAGAGAAATGGGGACCATGGATGCATCTATTGGCAGTACTGCTTTCTGGAATGTGGGGTCATGATGGGGAATTGCCCTGGAGAACAGAATCCACACCCTTTTATTAGGTAGAGGTGACATTGGGGTGCTTTTTGATCTTCTGTAATTTCAGATTGGTTCTGGAAAAGAGATCTATTGTTGGGGTGTACTGGCAGAGCTGCTGAGGGGGAATTATGAGTGCAGGAACCCAGAATGTGATAGCAGTAGAGATGCTGAAATTATAGAAGCTGCTGGCTTACCAGGGCAAAAGTGCATTGGCAAGGGGTGGCATACAGCAGGTCTGGGAAGCAGAGCCATGAGAACAGTGTGTTGCTAACCAGTGCTGCCCTTCTGTTTTCTCAAGTGCCAAATTAACCCATAAAATAGAAATAAGACACATACATTGGCTCTCGCTCGGTTTATATTTTCACTTCCAGCTTTTAAATCTGTGGTTCCTGTAGCTAAATTGCCTTCTCTCCTGAGGGTCTGCAGACCAGCTCTGCAGGTGATAGCTTATGTGTGCACAAGCCCTGGCTGCTGACCTGCAGGTGGACTGAAGCAATCTGTGTTAGCTAGCATGATGGCAAGCCACAGATAAAATGGTACCTTACTTCTTCATTGGCACTGCAGTGAGTCTGGCAAGTTTGAAGGCCGGATTAAAAAAAGATCTGACTTCTGGCACTTGGCAGCACACCACAGGCATACTTGCTAGCCTGGTAGAGTGGAACCTGCAGTAAAACTGTAGGAAAAGTAAACATTCCCCTGAAAGAAAATGCCGCCATCTACCAAAGATTGTGGAAATGTTTTTGAGAACAGATGCACTTTTTTGTTCTTTTCCTAACCCTGCAGCCCAGGTCACCAGATACAGTAGAACTATGCTTTCCATACGTATACATAATGCTGCTGTCTGAGGACACTTGTCACTTGGCTGAAGCATGAGGAGCATCAGCTTGCTAAAAGCATAGGATGTTGCCAACTTAATTGCATCTTTCAGGCTGAAAGCTTTGGCACCATCCTGGCTGTAAGGTGTAACCCTGTTCTCATTGTTCCTGGACCCTTTTGGGTATTGTTACCACTAGGTAAGTCTGCCTTGCTCCAGTGAGTAGCCTGGAAAGTAAATTCTGAACCTGAGTCAACACCACCCATACAGCTCAGGATATGGTTTTCAAGCCCATTCACTAGACATGGTGCAGGCATGAACAGCTGGACATGCACAGGAAAATCCACCTTTTCATGGTCAGAGTATGGAAACAGAAAGGGAAAAGTTAATTCAAGGTCCTTGTTGAACTCACCTGTGCCTTCACAGAAGCAAAGCTTTACTTCACTCCAGAAGAATGGATTTGGCTGACAAAACTTAGGTATAGACTAAGCCAAAATGATTTGTATGAGCCCCACAGAAGGTCATGTAGAGCACAGAATTGAATCCAGGCTGCCTCAGTCCCAGGTCATAGCCCAGCTGGTGGACTTAACCTCTCTGTGACCATTGGAAAGACCAATTAAGTCTTTTCCTTTGATGCAGTCTAGTCATCCCCTCTGCTCCTTTGGTGCATCTGTAGTCAGAACAAGACTAAAATTGAGCATGAGGGTCTAAAGACGAAATACAAAGTGCTGCTTTATTTCACTAGCACTCGGGTCCATTTTCAGGGCGGTGCTTTTTTGAGGCACATTATTCAGCAGTCAGAATTGCATGCGACTCCTTAAGGACTTTGCTGGCACTGAATAAATCTGTTGATGACGTAAAATGATTAATAGAAGGGTCATTTTAACAAATAGCAAAATCCCAAGCTGCTACCTGCTGAGTTACTTATCCTAATTTAATTAAATTACTTTGGGTCAAAAATGTATCTTCTTGAATTGATATGAATCTGTCTTGCTCCCATAGCACCTTGTTATTCACTAATAGCATTTTGGGGGCAATTTTTTTACTTAAAAATGCAGGTTTTGCTTAACTGAAATATTTTGTAAATGTATATCTTTTACTGGTTTTCTTTTTCCAGTTTTGGAGGAAAATATTCTGGGAAAAGTCTTATTTTAAGCTTTTTTTCATTAAATTATCAACTTGAAATGGCAGTTAGCCATGAAATATATTTTAGTTTAACTGAAAAACATTTAAAGAGCTCAAAACCAAAATATGTAGTTTTGACCCAACTGGCTTGCATTTTGGGTTGCTCCAAATTGTAAAAATAATTTGCTTTGATGGACCTTTGAATTTGCTTTGTATTGAGAACAACTTTTCATTCCAGAGAGTGGAGGATACAATTAGGGGATCAGCTGTTTTGGATTTTGTCCTGACCAACAGGGAAGAATTGGTGGAAGTTGTGAAAGTGATGGGTAACGTTAGAGGAAGTGGTCACAATATGATAGAATTCCTGAGACAGGGAAAGCATGAGGTCAGCAAAATTAGGATGCTAGATTTCAAAAAGGGATTTAATCTGACTCAAGTAGTTAATAGGCATGGTGTGATAGGAGGATAGATTGAGGGATAAAGGTGTCCAGCAGGGCTGGGAGCTTCTAAAGTGCATGGGACTGGAAGCCCAACTAGAAACTGTCCCAACATGATGAACACACAAAAAGAAAGGCAACGTGGTTGCACAAGGAGCTTCTAAAATGTCTCAAATGCAAAAGGAAAGCATACAGGCAATGAAAGAATAGCCAGGTCACCAAGGAATCTTACCAGGAAATAGCAAAACCCTGCAGAGACAAGATCAGGAAGGCAAAGATAAAGAGCAAGCTGCACTTGGCAGAGGAAGTTAGACAACAAGAAAATGTTCTATAAGGATGTTGGCCAGAAAAGAAGGACCAAGGAAACTGTGGGTCCTCTTTTAACAAGCTGGGGGAACTCTTAACCAAAGAAGCAGAAAAGGCAGATCTGCTCAACAGTTATTTTGCCTCAGTCTTTATAAATAAATAAGCTGCAGCCAGGTGCCTAACAAGGATTATCTCGATAGGAAAGGGGGCAAATTGAGGGATGGTCAGAGAGCTTTTGTTGGATCTGAAAGAATTCAAGTCATTGGGGCTGGATGAACTTCATCTCACGGTACTGAAGGAACTGGCAAAGGAGATCTTGGAGCCTTTAGCAGTGATATTCATGAAGTCATGGGAGGTGGGTCAGGTACCAGAAGACAGGCAAAGGGCCAATGTAGTACCCCTCTTTAAAAACAAAAAAGAAAAGAAAAGGAGTACTTGGGGAATTACAGACCAGTTAGCCTCACTTCAGTACCTGGGTAGTTACTGGAGCTTATTCTAAGGAAGGCCATTTGCAAGCACCTGGAGGAGGACAGGTTGATCAGAAGCAGCCAGCATGGATTTGTGAAAAACGAAGTGTCAAACAGAACTGGTCTCCTTTTTGACAAAGTAACTGCTTGGGTGGATGTAGATATAGTGTATCTGGACTTCAGCAAGGCTTTTGACAAGGTCTGGGTGACCTTCTCATAAACAATGGGAAGAAATGCAGGCTGGATACAATTACCACAAGGTGGGTACATAACAGGCTCAATAGCCACAAGCAAAGGGTAATGATTAACAAGTCCATGTCAGAATGTAGGAGGTTTTGAGTGGAGTCCCACAGTGGTCTGACCTGTGTCCAGTGCTGTTCAACATGTTTGTTAATGGTTTGGGTGCTGGCATAGAGAGTTTCTTGAGCAAGTTTACAGATGTCATGAAACCGGGAAGGATTGTGAATATGTTGAAGGATGTCCATGCAATGTGGAAGGATCTCAACAGATTGGAAAGTTGGGCTAGAGCTAACAGGATGAAGTTCAATATGGACACATGCAAGGTGCTGCGCCTCAGGAGGAATAATCAAAAACACAAATATAAAATGGGTGACGCTGGTTGGATGGCAGCACTATGGAAAAGGGCTTGGGAGTCTTGGTAGATCACAGACTCATTATGAGTCTGCCACATGACATAGTTGCACAAAAGGCAAATGTGGTTTTGGGATCCATCCATAGAAGCCTTAGGTGCAAGACATGAGAGGTGATAGTGCCTCTGTACTCAGTGCTGGAGTACTGTGTGAAGTTCTGGGCTCCACATTTTAAAAGCATGTGGAAAAGTTAGAGGGTCTAGAGGTGGACAACAAAGATGATAAAGGGCTTGGAAAGCAAGTCATATGAGGAGATGCTTAAGGAGCTAGTCATGTTCAGCTTGCAGAAAAGGTATTTAAGAGGATACGTGATAGCAGACTTCAAATAATTAAAGGGCTGCCATAAAGAAGAGGGAAAGCACCTTTTCCCTCTTGCTGCAGAGAGGAACATGTGGACCAGTGGCTTACCAGTTGGAGCAAAGTAAGTTTAGAT